ACTCCTGGCCCATCATGTGTGTTTGGCTCCATTATCTCCATCCATTCACACCTGGGCCTTCTTACAGCAGACACAGCAGAGTACTTCCTTCCGACAAGATCCTTTTCCTAGTAGTAGAGAAAATAGAAGAGGGTGATCTTTAATAGAGTTTAATGTTAATATGGAAGACTATAAAAATAATCTCACCTATTTTAATTCTTAAAAAAAACTTTTTTGGGGGGCGCCTGGGTGGCTCAGTCAGGTAAGCATCCGACTTCGGCTCAGGTCATGATCTTGGTTCTTGGGTTCGAGCCCCATATCGGGCTCTGTGCTGACAGCTCAGAGCCTGGAGCCTGTTTCAGATTCTGTATCTCCCTCTCTCTCTGACCCTCCCCTGCTCACACTCTCTTTCTCTCTCTCTCTCTCTCTCTTTCTCAGAAATAAATAAAACACTAAAAAAAATTTTTTTTAATGTCTTATTTGTTCTGAAGAGAGAGAGAGACAGAGCATTAGTGGGTGAGAGGCAGAGCAAGAGAGGGACACAGAATCTGAAGCAGGCTCCAGGCTCTGAGCTGTCAGCACAGAGCCCGACCTGGGGCTCGAACCCACAACCGTGAGATCATGACCTGAGCTGAAGTCGGCCCACAAGCTATGAGATCATGACCTGAGCCGAAGTCAGACGCCCAACGAACTGAGCCACCCGAGTGCCCCTCACCCATTTTAATTCTAATAGAAACTGAAGCAGGACCAGTTGACCTCTACCCTCTCTTCCATCTTTGTTGTGTGGGTGATTCAAAACATAATTTTTTGAAAGATTTTAAAACACCAACAAACCCCAATATCACCCTATCAAGTTTTATGTTCTCTAATAACATAGTACTTGGTTGTTTCCCTGGGAGAAAATAAGCTGGGAGAAACAATTGTTTTATATAATGCCTGAGAATTTTCATTAGTTACTCAAAGGTTCTCCACTTAATATTGAATGATTCATTTTATTGGTATTGATATATAGACCCACACTGTCATCAAGATTTTCATATTGGATTTTTAAACTATAATCCATTGAAACGTAATTTCCCCAGTTTCTTAAATTCAAGAAATATACTATACTGATAGTCTCCTATCTAATTTTGTATCCAATGTTTTATGAAACATTCCCTCCTCTGAGTTAGATTCCTGCCTCAACTGTATATGTTATTATGCTTGTAGGCTATTCAGTAACAAGACATCTGTTCAGAAATCCCTCTAGAAAGTTTCCTACATTATTTATGTCACTACGAAAACCATTTCCCCTCCCTTAGAAAACAGCTGCTTTACATACAGAAGAAAAAAGATCATTATTTAGCCAGCAATGTTGATAAATGATTCTAGTGCCTTTTAGCTGACTGTCATTGCTTTTTATACACTAATTAGCTTCATAAGTCTCTTCTGCTCTCAAAGATTGTCAAGTAGCCATTTAGTAATAATTTTAAATGCTATTCTTATATTCTCTCAATTAAAAGTAAATTTTAATGATTTTTAGGTAAATGGTTTTGATCTCCCAAATCAGTAAGATCTCCCAAATAGTTTGTACCATGATTTTTGAAAGCTCTGAACTTTTGTCTGCTTATTTTCTCCTGCAAGCTTAATATACTTACCAAAAAATTTCCACATTCCACATCATCAAAGCTTTCATCTTGTCTCAAAAGAAAAAAGAAAAAAAGTTGAAATGCCGATTAAGGGCCAAAATCAACTATTTTCAGCCTCAATTTTCAAATGTCAGTTTGTTTTTACCTAATTCTAGTAAATTTATATAGTGTAATTCTAAACTTTGCTATTTGACAGTTTCCCTGCTGAAGAAAAGCAGTAGAACTTTTCACCACCTGTGTTGCTTTTGGAGACTAGCCCCTCCCATCTGTGGTCTGGGCAACTTCGTGCCCAGGCGGGTCCTCACAGAAGGGACTGCCTTCTCACTGCTCTCAAGGCTCCGGCCTGTACCTGCTGCTGCTCTGCAGCGAATGTCCTGGAGAATAGTCCTCGATGAACAAGGTACTAACAAAAGAGAGGGGCGCCTGGGTGGCTTAGTCGGTTAAGCGTCCGACTTTCGCTTAGGTCATGATCTCGCGGTTCATGGGTTCGAGCCCCGCGTCGGGCTCTGTACAAAAGACAGGCTCAGAGCCTGGAGCCTGTTTCAGTCTGTGACTCCCTCTCTCTCTGACCCTCCCCTGCTCACGCTGTCTCTCTCTCTCTCTCTCCTAGAAATAAGTAAAAATATTAAAAAAAAGAGAGATAGGTGACTTTCTACATTCAGCACACCATAAAAGGGAATTCCGAATAGTAGGAAAAGGGGAAAGGAACCCATAAAAAAGACCAAGTAAAGGTCAAATCTTTGCGTTTTTGAATAGAAACCATTTTCTGCTGAATTAGCTAATACAGTATTTCTCAAGCCTTTGAATTTGATTCCTATAGAGTTTAGTTTTTCCAAAACAAAAGTGGAAAGGAAGTGTTGTTTTTCAGAATAAGGAGGTTCTCACTAGATTTCAGTTTTTAAAAAAGAAAAAGATCTACAGCCTAATGCATATGCGTAGAATTTTTGGCCAAAATACAGAATTTGCCAAAACCCATGGGTGGGGTGGGGGCTGGGGGTGGAGATGGTTCTGCCTGTTTAGAATGTGGTGCATAATGAGGTTGCTGAACTAAGCTAGAGAAAACAGGAGAAAGACACAGATTCCATTAGCTCAAGCAATATACAAATGCTGCTAATTATTTTTGTTTCATGACAAGAGTTGTTTTTAAACAGACAACCACCAACTACCATCACAACTACCCCCCTCCCCCCAAAAAACTGAACTGGCCTCGACTGTACCCTTAATTCTTCTCTGTTCCCACACCCTCAACAACTTTGGTTCTCCAGCCCTACTCGTTCCTGCCGTGAAACCTGACAACAGCAAAAATCTTGAAACAGAAAGAGGAAGAGGAGAGCGAGAGAATGGGGGGAGAGAATGGGAGAGAGAGACAGAGAGAGAGAACGTATTTTGCCACCCTCCTGGCTAACTGAAATGCTTGTTCCCGAGATTACAGTAATTACAGCCACAGCATGAGTTCCATACAAGCGCTAAATGAAACAGCACATCAATTAAAAAATAAACACTCCATTCTAGGAGAAAGACAACCCCCTGGGACGTCCTAACAAGCGTAAATGAACCTGCCTGGCCGCCGGCCCCTCAGGCCTGCGCCTCCCCTCCCTGTCTTAAGGTAGTAGCGGACCCGGCGGGGCCAAGGACTCCTTGGCGGTGTCCCAAGTGGCTGCTAAAAGCAGCAGCTCAGGTCCCGCTCTGCTCCGTGCGGATCGCTGATACGTGTCCGTGCGTCGGCACCAGGGCTCAGCACCGCCTCCCACGGCAGAAAAGGAGGTTCTGGAAAAAAAAAAATCTGAACTTTGGATAGACATATATATGTTCCAAAAGTACGAGGCGAAGAGAGAGAAGCCAGCCGCAGTTTCCAGTCTGTCCTATTTATAACTTGCTTACTTTTTTTTTCTTTTTTCTTTTTCTTTCTCTTCCTTTTCCTTCCTGGAAGGGAATTATTTCTTCAAAAGGAAGCACGTTGTCCTAGATGCTTTACATATTTTATCCCTCCTAATTAGCGGGACCCCTTTTGAAATGCGTACTATTACCCCACTTTTCAGACAAGGAAGCTGAGGCTCCCCTGGCCGCTCAGCGGAGGCGGGAGAATGCTGGGCCCGCCCCTGCGCCTGGCGGCCGTGCACGCGGGCTCCTCCCGAGGCGCCCTCGCTCCAGCCCCCCTACCCAGAATGAACTGCCGCCGTCCCACTCCCCTCACTCTTCCAAGCTTCAAACAGCATCATTCTAAAAACCCCAGAAGAGCACCCCTTCCCTGTTCTCCCGCACAGACTGGCCGCAGTCAGGCTCCCGCGCACTCCCGTGGAGGTGGGTTCCCCGCCGACCCGGCTCACAGAGGGGCGCGGGGTCACCCACGTCAGGCAGCAGCAGGAGGCGGGGTCGTGACTTGCTTCAGAGGAGCCTAGAAAAGCAGGCGCATGCAGAAAACCCCCATCCCGGGCCCCCAGCGCCGATTCTGGGAAAAGGAACCAAGAACTCAAACGCACTGAGCGCTGCGGCGACAATCGTGGCAACACCACGGTCTCTGCGGTCAAACCCAAGGTTAGCAAAACTCTCCATCCGCAGAGGGCTCACATGGCCTTGGGGACGCTCCAGACCGCCTTAAGGAAGGCTGAGTCTTGGGAGTGCGTAGACTCCGCCCCGTCACCCGGCGATTGGCGCGCCCGGCCGGGGGCGGAGACCGAGTCCGCGCTGTATAAATATTCATGAGCCGGCCGGGCGGTGCGAGCGGGGCCGGAGCCGGGAAGTTGGGTGAAGGGCGCTGCTCCAGCCGAGGAGGAGGAGGAGGAGGAGGAGGCGAAGGAGGAGGAGGAGGAGGAGGAGGAACGGGAGGCGGCGGCGGAGGCAGTGGCGGCTGGGCGCGGGCCGCGCCGCTCAGGTGTCTATTCCGCCTTCTGGTCTGGATTTGGTTGTGTGTGTCTAGCGAGAAGGGGACTGGCTACACCTCGCCGGATTCCTGGCCGGAGCGCGGAGCGGACTTTTACCAGAGGCGGAGTCTGTCAGTCCCGGCGGCGGACCGACTGACCGACGCCGAGGAGAGAGGGCGGCGGCCTCTGCGGAGGCGGGTCCCGAACTCCGGCGGCCGAGCAGCACAGCGTTGGGGGGCTAGCATGAGTCCCTGGGGACCGAAAGGGGGCTGCAGGGGCTGACCCTGAGCCGGGAGCGGCCTGGCCCAGCCATCTTGACTGCGCACCGCGGCCCGAAAGGAAACTTGCTGTGCCGCCGCCCTCTGTGCCCGGCAAAGTCACCGCACCGTCCCCGGCGCCGCGTGGAGAAGTGGCGGGGCGCGCGGGAGAGAAAGCGAGCGAGAGAGGGACGATGAGCCGGGGGCCAGCTTCTGTGCTGCGAGAGGGCTGAGTTCGACCAGGAGTCACCAGGGCAGGCTCTCGGGGACTGTGGTGCACGCCTACGGCCACCCTCGCTGCCGCTGCCCAGGCTTCGGGCCCCACGGTGCGGAAGCGTCCCGAGAGGGGACCAGGTTATCTGCAGGACCCCCACCCCCCCCACCCCCGCCTTCCGGGAGAGGCAGGAGGGAGACCAGCAGGGGTGCGCACCCGCTCTTCCCTTCTTCGGGTCCCTCGCCGAATCCCCCGGCGCCCCTCCGCGCGCCGCCTGGAGGGCGAGGGCGCGGGGCCGAGGTGCGCAGCATGGAGTGGGGTTACCTGTTGGAAGTGACCTCTTTGCTGGCCGCCTTGGCGCTGTTGCAGCGCTCGAGCGGTGCGGCGGCTGCCTCGGCCAAGGAGCTGGCGTGCCAAGAGATCACCGTGCCGCTGTGCAAGGGCATCGGCTACAACTACACGTACATGCCCAACCAGTTCAACCACGACACGCAGGACGAGGCGGGCCTCGAGGTGCATCAGTTCTGGCCGCTAGTAGAGATCCAGTGCTCGCCCGACCTCAAGTTCTTCCTGTGCAGCATGTACACGCCCATCTGCCTGGAGGACTACAAGAAGCCCCTGCCACCTTGCCGCTCGGTCTGCGAGCGCGCCAAGGCCGGCTGCGCACCCCTCATGCGCCAGTACGGCTTCGCCTGGCCCGACCGCATGCGCTGCGACCGGCTGCCGGAACAGGGCAACCCCGACACGCTGTGCATGGACTACAACCGCACCGACCTCACCACAGCCGCACCCAGTCCGCCGCGCCGCCTGCCGCCGCCACCCCCCGGTGAGCAGCCGCCCTCCGGCAGCGGCCACGGCCGCCCGCCGGGGGCCAGGCCCCCGTCCCGCGGCAGGGGCGGTGGCGGCGTGGACGCAGCGGCGCCCCCCACGCGCGGCGGCGGCGGCGGCGGCGGCGGCGGCGGCGGCGGCGGGAAAGCGCGGCCCCCTGGCGGCGGTTCCGCGCCCTGCGAGCCGGGCTGCCAGTGCCGCGCGCCCATGGTGAGCGTGTCCAGCGAGCGGCACCCGCTCTACAACCGCGTCAAGACCGGCCAGATCGCCAACTGCGCGCTGCCCTGCCACAACCCCTTTTTCAGCCAGGACGAACGCGCCTTCACCGTCTTCTGGATCGGCCTGTGGTCTGTGCTGTGCTTCGTGTCCACCTTCGCCACCGTCTCCACCTTCCTCATCGACATGGAGCGCTTCAAGTATCCCGAGCGGCCCATTATCTTCCTCTCGGCCTGCTACCTCTTCGTGTCAGTCGGCTACCTGGTACGCCTGGTGGCGGGCCACGAGAAGGTGGCGTGCAGCGGCGGCGCGCCGGGCGCGGGCGGCACCGGAGGCGCGGGCGGCGCGGCGGCTGCAGCGGCGGCGGGCGCGGGCGCGGCGGGCGCGGGCGCGGGCGGCCCGGGCGGGCGCGGCGAGTACGAAGAGCTGGGCGCTGTGGAGCAGCACGTGCGCTACGAGACCACGGGCCCGGCGCTGTGCACCGTGGTCTTCCTGCTCGTCTATTTCTTCGGCATGGCCAGCTCCATCTGGTGGGTGATCCTGTCGCTCACGTGGTTCCTGGCGGCGGGCATGAAGTGGGGCAACGAGGCCATCGCCGGCTACTCGCAGTACTTCCACCTGGCCGCGTGGCTCGTGCCCAGCGTCAAGTCGATCGCCGTGCTGGCGCTCAGCTCCGTGGACGGCGACCCGGTGGCCGGCATCTGCTACGTGGGCAACCAGAGCCTGGACAACCTGCGCGGCTTCGTGCTGGCGCCGCTCGTCATCTACCTCTTCATCGGCACCATGTTCCTGTTGGCCGGCTTCGTGTCGCTCTTCCGCATCCGCTCGGTCATCAAGCAGCAGGGCGGCCCCACCAAGACGCACAAACTGGAGAAACTCATGATCCGCCTGGGTCTCTTCACCGTGCTCTACACGGTGCCCGCCGCTGTTGTGGTCGCCTGCCTCTTCTATGAGCAGCACAACCGCCCGCGCTGGGAGGCCACGCACAACTGCCCGTGTCTGCGGGACCTGCAGCCAGACCAGGCGCGCCGGCCGGACTATGCCGTCTTCATGCTCAAGTACTTCATGTGCCTCGTGGTGGGCATCACCTCGGGCGTGTGGGTCTGGTCCGGCAAGACTCTGGAGTCGTGGCGCGCCCTGTGCACCCGCTGCTGCTGGGCCAGCAAGGGTGCTTCGGGGGGCGGCGGCGCGGGCGCCGGGGCCGCGGGGGGGGCCGGGGGACCCGCGGGTGCTGGGGGCGTGGGGTCCGGTGGGGGCGGGGGCCCGGGCGGTGGGGCGGGATCCCTCTACAGCGACGTCAGCACCGGCCTGACGTGGCGATCAGGCACGGCCAGCTCCGTGTCTTATCCAAAGCAGATGCCATTGTCCCAGGTCTGAGCGGGGGGGGGGGGGGGGGGGGGGGGGGCACCCGGAAGGAATGGGGAAGGGGGCGAGGAAACCTAGTGCAGCGAAGGGACACTCGACGGGCTGAGGTTCCCACCCCTTCACCGTGTTGATTGCTATTAGCATGATAATGAACTCTTAATGGTATCCATTAGCTGGGACTTAAATGACTCGCTTAGAACAAAGTACCTGGCATTGAAGGCTCCCAGACCCAGCCCCCTTTCCTCCATTGATATGCGAGGAGCTCCTCCCGCCAGGCGTTAATCTCCGTTGGCAGAGGAGGATGGACTCCGCTGCTGCGTTTCAGAACGCAAGGTTTGTAGCCCTCGCTGGTTGCCATTTGCTGAGCTTGAAGCCAGATCTACAGATTTCACCTGAGGGACCTATTTTTCTCCCTCGACTCTCCTACGTAAATTCTTACTCCTAACATATCCTAGAGGAGGGATGACCGCGACCTAATGGAATTGCACGGTTTGGGTATTCTTAATGACCAGGCAAATGCCTTAAATAAACAAACAAGAAATGTCTTAATTATACACCCCAAGTCAATACGGGTTTCTTACATTAGAGGATGTATTTATATAATTATTTGTTAAATTGTAAAAATGTGTAAAATATGTACATATCCAAAGATATACAGTCTGTACATTTTTTGTAAAAAGTTTAGAGGCCACCCCTGTAAGAACAAATATAAGTATTCTATTTTGTCAATAAAATGACTTTTGATAAATGATTTAAACATCACCCTCTCCCCCTGCCTCTTCTAAGCTGTTACCTTTAAAGTGCTTGCTAAGGACACGCCGGAAAAAAAAAAATGGACATTTTCTGGTTTCTCATTCTGTACTCTGACCTTAGGCATGAAGAAAATGACCTGTTAAACTCTAGTTCTTAAGTTGTTAGCAAAGTAAATATCACTGTTGAACTGAAATCAAAATTGAGTTTTTGCACCTTCCCCAAGGATGGTGTTTTTCATGGTAGCTCTTTTCTGATCCACGGATAAGAACACTCACCTTAGTGTATGTAAGTGGAACTTTTGCAAGGCAATAATTGCACTCAGGCCTTGTTATTTATCTTGTATAATATGACTAAAGCCTTCAAAACCCCACACTTATTTCTTGGCGTACCTGATTTTGAAAGCACCTGGGTCTTAAGGGACTGAACACCCTGCTGAAGTGCAGATGTTAATGTTTTAAACCATCAACCGCACTTTACAGTATAAGTCACTTGACTATCTGGTAGTGGAGCAGGCGTTCTTTAATGGATTAAACTAACGGGTTAACATCTTAATAACCTTCCAGGCTTGTGTATATCAAATGTGCTTCTTTTCCTAGAGAAAAAGCTATTGTTCCTCTGTCAAGACTAAGCTAATTTATTTGAGCAGAAGGCTGTTGAATTAGCAGAAGAATGCTTTGGCAATTGTTGAACTTTTTACCTGTCTGCCCAGTGGCCCAGCACATCATTCCTTTAAGAGGAGCTAAATGAATAGGGTTAATCTGTAGGGAACTTGGTCTTTTGAGTTTGAAAAACTTTGATCTTTTCTCCTCTCCAAATGTGCTGTATAGTCTGAAGTTTCTTTCCCTGCTGCCGGGCTCCTCTTGGTGCAGACCAATTGGCCACCGCGGAGCCTTAAAGTTCTTCCATTAAAGGGATGTGGGACTTTTACTTTAAAAAGGAGAGAGAGCGAGGGAGAGGAAGACTTGTAACAGTTAGTGAAGACCAGAGGCACAAGTGCGCTCAGCCTTTTAAACAGCTTTTCCCGGCATTGTTAGCCAGCCTGCAGGCAGCTAGGCATGGGTTGAAGCATTATAGAAAAGGGCTCTGAATGCCCTACAGGTGGTCTGTGCACATAATCCCCCAATTTAAAGCGTTTTCCTTTGCTGGACAATTGCATTACAAAACTCCCTTCTTTTTCGCCCCTAATTGAACCAATGAACTATTATAAACTACAAGTTTTTCTTAAAAAAAAAAAAAAGGAAAAAACCCCTCAGTGCCTAAATTCTGGCAAGTTTTCTGAACTGAACCTTTTAAGGCACCGGAAGTAAATGCTTCTTGAGACATTTCACTTTTTCAGATATTTTTATTCTTCGTGCTTGTTATTTTCTGACAGATTAGCAATAATTTAAAAGTAATTGGTAAGGTTGTGTGTTCAAACTGAAAAGATAGCCCCAGGTCCCTTATTAACCTGTCAATCAAGATAAGAAATGGGCAGCTACCCCTGCTAATGATGGGGGGCATCAAACATTGCGGGGCGGGAGGGGACATGTTTTCTGCATCCTGCTAAAATGTTTGTTCTCTTTACTTTTCCTAATAGGAATATTTCCTGGTTAAAAAAAAAACTTTTTTTTTCCAATTAATAGGATGGAAATTACTTCCTTGCCTGTTCTTTCTCGTGTGAGAGGCTTTTAAGAAGAGTTTCTTAGGAGAAACATTTTGCAAATCCTTTGCAGAGTCATTCTTGGTGATAATTGGATTTTTTAAATTAGATAAGCCATAAGAACACCTTCTTTAGCTAACATGCTGATTATATTTCTTAAAGTCAGAGGCACTGTAAAATCTTCACCTCCCAGCAATTTTATTTATTAAAGAATTATTGTTTTGTAACGTAGGTACCAATAAGTGGCCTGCATCTAACCCATGTGGTGATGCTTATGTGGAGTACAGAAACCAGCCATAAACTTTACATTTTCAGTAATAAAGTGTGATTTTGAGGGCACTTCCCATAGGTGAGGAGAGAGCTAAAAGTCACTACTTAGCACATTGGTGTTCTAATGTAGCAGCATTCTCATTATTGACACATTTCCAACTATGTGACAGTGGGAAATGTCCAACTTGGGAAGCTTTTTTCCTTTATCAGTTTTTCAGCATATCTTTGTAAAACCCCATACTTGGTAGCTTTTGCAAGATGGCTATAAGTGTGCACAGTATAAACAAGCTTATTAAACAAGCAAAAAACCCTACTGACATTCTGAAGACAAGTCTTAGTAAGAAGGTTTTAGTAAGAAGACCTGCACCTATAATCACTTAAGACTGATTTTAGAGACTGACACAAAACCCAAGTGCTGATTCTTTGCCTTTAAAACTAAAACTTGAGTTGCAAAGTTGCCAATATCCAAATGGTATCTATTAATAGAATAAAAGCCTCAAAATTGATTTTGGGGGTGGGAAAATGGAAGAAGAGTCTCATTTTGGCCATTTGCCTTAGACAAATGAATAGGTCTCTTCCTAGAACACCCTCTTGTGCTACATTAACTATATGGAATAAGTGTTAGTTTTCTTAAAAATTTTGTCAAACATGGGAAGTGGGGGAGTAGGGAGGGGTTGTGGTTACTGTGTGGCTAGAAGATCAATGTAAATAAAGTCTAATGTGGTTAAATCCATTAGTAAAGCCAAAGCTCATTATAATTACTTGTGGGGAAGGCTATGTGAACACTTTCTTTTTGCTTTTTAATAAATGCAATTTGAAAGTACCATAAAAAGGGCAGAGTGGGGAGAGTGTATAAGAACGTTTAAGGTGCAAACTCTCACTATTACAGCTTCCTAACTTGCACTGATGGCATTGCAGGTTCCTGTAATCCTTGAAAATTTCGGGGAAGGAAATCAGAATGTCTTGCCAAAAGAAAAATTACACAGAGACTCAAGCAGTTGCAGAGTACAGGGTGCAGTTGAAAGTATAGGTGCAAACATTCTGTGAAGTCTCTTCAAAACAAGTCACGTGTAGCCATCTGCTCTCCACGTGTGATACCATACCGCCACCTTGTGGTACCCACAGTCCCAGAACTGAGAGGTTCCTTCATTCAGAACTACCGAGCCCCCACATTGCTGGCCCTGTCCCATGCACTGTGCCCGCCCAGAGGGCCTGAAAACATTTTGTATTCATAATTTTGAATTCTTCAGTTTAAGGCCCCACAAGATCTTATTGAATTGAATACTCAATATAAACTTTATACTAAAAATGTAATTAAGCTGTATTGAAATCAAAAGCTCTATCTTTCTGAAATTATCTTTTGATTAACTTTTTATTTAAAGAGTGAGCTACTCCCCAAAGATCCACCACCTAATGGAAATAGGTCCAAAACTTAATGGGAGAAAGGATGAGTCATGAAGAATATTTTGAGGTGACATGTAGTAGGCTTACTTACTTAAATGTACTATTTTCCAATTTCCCACTTAGAGGTTGATCCGCTGAATCCAGTGGACACTCCTCAGTGCTGTACATGAATGCTATTGGGTTGGGTGGGATCCAGGCTGGTCCCAGTTATCCAGCCAGGTGTTTGTGGGAACACACCAAAGAATAGAAACTGTGCTGGGAAACAAGGTCAGCCAAAGGGAGGAAGGGAGAAGCATCTGCTCCGGAATGTTTGAGCCCTGAGGGAGGAAGATTTCCATACACAATAGTGTGGGAAGCCCGGGCCTTTAAGGAGGGGATGCATGTAGGGAAGAGGCAGCCTTACAAAGCCCACATCTGAAGACTTCCAGTTCTGAGAATCAGAATGGCTGGTGGGGACAGGAGGGAAGGAAGAGGCACCTGTCAAGGGGATTCAGACTAAAGATGTTAGAGGTCACCTACCAAGATGGTGGAATTTTTAAAGACAGAGATCCCAGGGTCATCGAGAACTTTGCTACTCCACGGACAAGTAGCAGGGGCAAGATCTAGGAGGGTGATGGAAGTGTAGAATCTCAAGTCTTGCTTACTGAATCAGAAGCTGTATCCAGATCCCCAGATCCAGAAGCCCAAAGAAGTGTAGACTTGCCAAAGTTCATACAATCAACAGCAGACCTAGGCCTAGAAGCCTCTGGTCTTACTTGCCATTTCTATTTCTATAGACCTTTCTCAGCTGCTCTGCTGTCTCTGCAAATCCGTGAGACTACCTCTATGTGCATCTGGGCCTGAACATCAACTTACAAGAGCTATGTTTACTAGTTACACAATCAGACCAGAGTACAGGTTTCTCCATGGTGTGGTGCTGACCTACATACAAGAACATACAAACACA